GTTTCCGCATTTACGAGATTTACTGGGATTGTACTCTGATATTTTGATGGGATGTATGGTTTGACCTTTTAGAACATGGTTACGATGTGTTATGGTGTGATCAAACAATGTTTTTATTTATTAATGTTTTCTAAAGTAATATTTTAAAATGAAATTTTCGGACGTAAAAATTGGGTCGTTACAATAATCATGTATAACTTTACTTTCAAACAAATATAAATACTTCTATGTAATGTAATGGTTGTGTTTAGTGTGCTTACTATGTACATTGGTTGTGATACTTTACATGACGTCCTCCGCCCCGAAACGTTTCCGCCATCAGTTTCGGGGTGTGACAGTATGCGGCCAGGGTGTGCGGCCATAGTGGGTGTGCGGCCGCACACTCCCTAAGAAATGTTCCAAAACGTATTTTAAGGCTTTAGGACTCATCTAGGAAGGTTTCTTACTTCATACTTAAGCCTTATATGGAGTTCATTGCCATTTTTGGACCTAAAAAGGGTGTGTGCGGCCACCATGAAGGTGTGCAGCCTCACACCCTTTATGAAGATGATAAAACCGTGTTTTTCAAATATGTCATCAAGTGTTCTTAGCATATAACAAGTTATGATAAGTGTATACACGTTATAGAGGCTTGAAAAGGGTGATTAAGTCCAAAAAGGTAGTGTCTGTTCTTGGTGATTTTGAAGATTTAACACCACAAAGGTGTTTTCATGGATCAAATCAAAGGGGAAGGCTAGTTAAGGTCATGTAATAGCAAATCAAAGGATGAATCACTTACTTGTTTGAAGATTGAAGTGAAAAGTTGGATGATACCTGAGAGGATTTTGAGTTCCAACCTTTAAGAAGTGGAAAAGTGTTAAAAAATGACCAAGTGTTGAATATATATGTGGGAGTGTGTGGTTGGAGGGGTGTGTGGCTGGAGTGTGAGGTTGGGATGGGTGTGTGGCCGCACACACTTGTATGTGGACGTCCACTCAAGTGTGTGGCCGCACACTCCATATGTTGTAGTGTTTGGCCCGAGTTTGCTTGATATATATAGAGTTATCCCATTTCCAGGCTCCTACCTTAATTGTACTAGGTTTAGAACACTCAAATAGACCCTAAACAGTGTTAAAAGATAGTAAAACAAGTCTAACTTTGATTGAATTGAACTATTGTACATGATAGAAATTTCGGGTTGTCATGTTGTAGGCCAGCAAGAGAAAGATGATGCATAGTAACGATATTGGATTTTGTTTTCATGTACAAAATTTTAAAAAAAAATCATTTAGTATTTTCAGTATTTAAATCTTTAATAATTAATACCCTTAAGTTTTCAAAAACATTAATTATTAGAGTCTAGGATACAATTTGCAAAACAAATAAATGGTTAGGTGACATTTATCTCATTCATTGGATTCAACTAGGTAGATATTGAGTATCAATTATATTATATTATATTATTTCTATCTTTATAAGATCGTTAATAACAAAGTTTAATAGACATATTTGATCCCATATATGCATCGGATCTCTATTGCCTAGGTGACCTTTATCAAAATAGATTTTTGATCAAATCATCTAGTTTGAGGAACTTGTGTAATCGACTTATAATTAGGTTATAGCAATCGTGAATACACCTCGGCCATTAAAAGATGACATTGGCGCATATAAGTGGTGTGTGAGTACTATTCAAATAGGATTGATAGATTTGAGTTTAACAAGAGCCCTTTGATCTTTTTTATAATTCTAGTTTAAAAAACATTTGATATTATGGTTATTGCAAGTATCCAATAACCCATGATATACTTATATTTAAAATCACATTTTAGCAATGTTCTTTTATAAAATCCAGATTTTATATAATCGATGCGAACAAATTTTAAAATTAATATCTAGTATTAAGTTTGGACGTTTGAAAGTTAAAGAACGTTTATAAACCTTTTAATAAAACTTCCATTAAAAAAATAAGGGTTGGAGTTCGAGTAGTCTCTAAAATCTCAATTTTAAACTTAAATAATTTTAATCATTGAAATTTACCGTCAGCTAGTTTTAAACGATAAAACTCATTTTGTTTTTAAAACTTTTTTACCCATCTTATATTAAAAGATAAATTTCATTGAAACCAAACTCTTTGCGGTTATTTTTATGTTTAAAAAATATCTAGCATTTTGAAATTTTAATTTTATAAACATGCGATATATAAACATAAAACAAACATCACAAACTATTAGAACATATGTGCATAAACTAATCATAAACTAATGACATTTTTTGAACCATCACAAAAATAGCAAGTCCATTTGTAAGGGACATAAAGGGACCAAAACTTTTTGTAATGTCTTCATCATTCCACTTCCTTCAACATCTTGTAGCAAATTCATAATAATAATTTCATAAAGTTTATAAAACTTTAATAAAATCATGTTTATAAACTTTTGATTTTCAAAATGGTCACCATCTTCATTATTGTTACATTTTTATAAAAATAAATTATTTCTAAAACTAATCTAGTACTTAGAAAAATAAACAAAATAAAAACTATTTATTTAATTATTATATATCATATGAATAAATAAATATTACAACCATTTTAATAAATCAACACAAACATCACAAGAGGTCAATGGCTATATATATATATATATATATATATATATATATATATATATATATATATATATATATATATTAGATGTGTGCCGGCACAAAGCGGCGGTGATCAATAACTTTTTTCGATGAATAGATTTTTATAGGGATATATATATATATATATATATATATATATATATATATATATATATATATATATATATATATATATATTAGGTGTGTGGCGGCGCAAAGCGCGGTGATCAATAACTTTTTTCGGTGAATAGTTTTTTATAGGGAAATAATTATTATATTTTATTATTAGTTATTATGTAATAAAAAATTATCACTTTTAAATAAAATATTTATGTTTATACCTTATGTTTATATTGTCTGCTTATACTATTGATGTAAATTAATTAATATTGGTGTTTAGTTTAAGAAATACAATTTAATTTATATATATGAAGTTAATATTTTAAAATTTTCATTTTAATCCAAATTGAATTTCTTAATTATTTTCCTTAATTCAAGTTTTAAAACTTTTGGCAAGTATTAATAAATTTTATATGTATAATTGATTTGTACAAAAAAATTTTGTAACTTATACCTCTTAAAATCAAAATATGACTAATATGCTTTATAATATAGTATTATATATATATATATATATATATATATATATATATATATATATATATATATATATATATATATATATATATATATATATATATACTCATAAATATATAAAACAACACATTGTTTTTCTAAAACAAATTTGGTGACAAAATATGCATGTAAACTTTTGTCACTAAAAAGTTACAATTATAAAGATGTTATAGAAAATATGTATGGAATTTCACACAAAAAGAAAACCATCCATGGTTTAAAAAACAAATGTTATACCAAATAATCTAATAATCTGACTAAGCTTGCAAAAATAGTTATGATATCAATTGTTGGGTTTTATTGAAAATTGTTTTTCCAAAAATGCTAAAAATGACAATGGAAACTTTAAAATTAGAATAAGCATAAAAGCGTTTTAACCCACAAATGATCATTTTGCAAAGCATTAAAGATTAAAACAACCACAAAATAAAACCTTTAAAATTAGAATAAGCATAAAAGCATTTTAAATAAATAAAACATTTGAAGACTTTGATTCCTCTTGAGAGGTTGAAAGTTGATGAAGATGGAAAGCAACTTAAAGTAGAGCTTCTTTAGAAGCGTCCACCAATCAAGAGTAAATCACCAAAGATGGTAGTCTTTACCTAAGTTGTTCTTAAGAGATTAAGAACTTACACAAAATATGCCTTAAAGTAGAAGCAACTTAGTACACTCAAAGGATGCACAAATTGCAAGACATGGAGAGAGGATAGAAGCATTAAGTTCTTAGCAATTAGAGAGAAAAAAAAAAAAAAAAAAAAAAAAAGAAGAGAAGAGTGTGAAAAAACTAACTAGATTTTGGCACTTACTCTTCTTTATATACTATGAAATATGTAGGAAGGAACCATATCATCTAACTACTCAAAGCATTGCCTTAAAGAGCAAGTATGGGTGAACGAGATTAACTAAAAGCAACCATCTTCCCATGAAGATGGACCTACGGTTTTGACTACAAACAAGTCAAAGTTAGTTTTTCTTCCACTTAAAATATCAAGTAGCTAGTTACATATGTCAATTAGATGATTATTCAAAATGTCCAAATAATTATACATAATTTATATATCCATACCTTATGAATATAACTAGTTTTTATTCTATTTTATTATTATTTCCTAGAAACAATAATATCTGATCTGTTGGTAAAATATTATTTTTATAAAATAATGGTTTTCCATTTAAATACAAGTGTTTATTAAATTTATTAATAATCAAATTACTTTAATAAATAGTCAATTAGTAGTACATTGCTATAAAATATGAATCATATAGGATCATATATCATTAACAAATATATTTTTATTATAACTATTGGGCATAAATATCTTTCATATTCCCGATGCCTCAACGAAATACCCATCAACTTGTTTCTTCTAGTAATTGACAACATTGACATTGACATCTGGAACGTTTTTCAAAATATATCGGGCCACTGATTAGCAAATGACCTGATCGGTTTTTTCAATGGTGGCGATTGTGGGAAAGAACCCTTCGGAGATGGTGGCAAACTATGAAAGTCGAGATAAGCAAATTGACGTGAAGATAATGGTGTTATCAAAATTATAGGCTCCAATTTAACTTAGTTACCATAATTTTAGGACAATAAAAAAAAGGTTATATATATATATATATATATATATATATATATATATATATATATATATATATATATATATATATATATATGAAAAAAAAAGGTATAAAATATGTTTTTGTATAAAAAAAGTTTTTATAAAAAAATATATATTTTTTCAAAAAAAGTACTTTTATATGTATTTCACATTCTTATATGGAATATGTAAAAGAAATGGGGCAATAAAACGTTTATTTGTTCTTTGGACCGGTGGTAAGCTCTTTGATTATTCGTCCTAACTCGTCCTCTTTTCAACCAACTTTTGCATGTGTATATGTGTTAATTATCTTCCATAATATATACAAATTTTAAGAAGCAATAAACAAAATGAGCCTCTAGGTCAGGGCTAACGGCGTCGCCTATGAATAGGCAAGTCCTCAATTCGAAACACACTTGCTCCCTTATTCTTCTGTGCTTTAAGATTTTTTTTAATAGATTGTTGATGTAGCGATACAATCTGCATGCCACGTCAGCAGGAGCCGATATATTAACATGCCCGTTGGTAATTCTTATATGCTTTCAATTGTTTTTAAAAGACATGTTTTTAAAAGACATGTTGATGTGACGATACAGTCTGCATGCCACATCAACAAAGGCCGACATATCAACATGTCGGTTGGTAACGTGCTAATCGGACCGTAAAGTTTGAGTTTTTTGTAGCATTAACCCTTTTTTTAAGGGTTACTTTTTCTTTTATGAAAATGAATAGGTATCAGTTAGCAAACAAAATGTTGTATTTACATTGAATAAATAAGATTATGAGATTTTTGGTTCCAAACAAAATTTGTTGGCTTTAACCTATTTTCCATGAATTGGAAAGAATTGACCATAAGGCTTATAAGTTTGAAAAAAAAATCAAGAAGCAACATTACTAAAGGCGAAATAGATGGTCTTTTGATGATAGGCATTGAGAGCGTAATCGACCTGAAAATGGCCCATCGGGAACTTTAACCGGACTCCATATCCAACACCAACACCAGCTCCCGGTTTACCATGTCTTAGACCAGGGTTTCCTACAAATACCAATTGAACTCACTATCACAATCACTATCACATCACTCTTTGGTCTTTACGATTAACAGGATTTACTATATATATAAGCACAAACATACTTTCACCATTTCATCGTTTTGGCCACTCAACTATCTTTTATCAACTTAGTCATTGAACTATGGAACTAGTATTATAATAATGATAAAAAAGACAATAGGCAAGTGGCTAAATGAATTGATAAAAAGTCTGTATTTCGGCCAATATGATTAGAAACTAACCAAAAGAGAAAATTCTGCTTTTATTTTGGGAGGGACAACAAAACATAGAAAATAAGTGTCACAAATGCACAAATGGAGGACGTCGAAGTTGTTTAAGGAAAAGGGGAAACACTAACCGGGAACATAGCGACCAGAACCCAAATCAGTTCCACAATCACAGAAGAGAACACCATCAAGCATCAGATTCTGGTAACACAACATAATTCAAGGCAGCATAATCAACCAACCAAAAACAATGTTTAAAATGTTTGATTAAATCATTTACCAGGATAGATAAACAGCTTTTTTTAATAGGTATTAGTTAGCAAAAAAATGCATTGAACAGATGAATATCGCATAGCTTGTTCATATCATAATCATATGAAGTAAGAATATACCACAACTTATTTATATGAAGGCTAAATGGCACTGTAACTACATTTATATGTACGTGTATTAGAGCATCTTACTTCCATTTCTTGTATTACAACATTGTTTTACAGTTTGAAAACTGCTTCGAGTTGGGTGGGATTTTACAAGTAGAATGTTGTGATGAGAATAAATGAAAGTACATTGGTAGATTTAAGCCTTTATATTATAATATGAGGATGAACATAGAGTCATGCATATGTACATACCATAGGGAATGTGAGTTGAGTGTTGGCAACCAAACAAGATCTACCAGATCCAACCGCACCCTCACCATATCCACGTACACTACCAACCCCTCCAATTGCAAATGCTTGGTATGGAGCTATATCGCCTACGATAGAACCACCTGTAACGCTGTCACACAAACAAATAGATTTATGCCCATGCAAATTCAAAATTCAAATTATAAACAAACAGCAAAACAGACATCCACACAGCACAGGCCTTGTAATGTATTGAATGATATCAATGGGAAAAAGCCTGCAATTTTTTTGCCACCAAAAAAGTCCCAGGGACAGATCTCTTGTCTGTGTACAAAAGACGCGAATGCCCTCGAGGATTTGTATACTTTGCAAAATATGTTACAAAAGTTTCTTTACAAAACACCATTATATTAATATTAAAAAAGCAGTATCAACTGGACAGTTTTGTTCACAAAATACTCTTATTTTATTGTATTTAGTGAACAAAACATTCCAATTGCTTACCTTCTGATGTTACTTTTAAAAACACTATGCTAGTGTTTTGTATAGAAAAAAATAGTTTGTTAGCCATTTAACTTAAGACATCAACACATTTATATATATATATATATATATATATATATATATATATATATATATATATATATATATATATTCTCACCTTGCCAAGAGAAATCCAGGACCAACTTTGACTCCCTTCGATGCAGCAAACTTGAACCGGTTAAAAATTAACCACTTTGACATAAGAGGAATTCCTTGTTCTATTTGTAGACTAAACTGAATACAGTAGTACATTTTAAAAAATTAGTAATGCATATGACAAAAATTATGTATTAAATTCACATGTTCCTTTTTTTGCTCATTAAGTAATGGATAATGATGTTTAAAAAATATTTAAGAAAATGAAGGCACACTAGGAGAATTAAAAGGAAAAAATCAATGAGAGAAAACATAGGACTTGATGGTCATTTCCCTGACTTCCTCTGTTAAGCCATATTATACAGCATACTTTACTGGATTAAGTTATGTCCTCATTAAGTCAAAAGAAACAACACGTAATAAGGAAAGAGCAAAGCAATAACCCGAGTGAAACTATGATCATTTGCTTTGGCGAATCTGGACTCTTGTTTCAGTACTACCATATTATCATGAAAATTACCGCTGCATTAAAAAGAATCATAAGATATCTGTCAAAACACATTTAAAAAAATAAATCCATAATTACCTGGAAGTCACTGAATATCCATGAAGATCTCTACTTATTGAGCGGCCATCATCATTGACAGGACGGACATGCTTCATACCAACACGATACAAGGCTAAATTAATCTCCACGGTATACAAGCGTTGGTTGAGGAGGGTATTCATGTCTTTTGCATAAAATTAATTAGTTACCTCAAACTTTATACTAGTTTTGGTGGTCCAATTGGAAGTTCCAGGCTCGTCGAGATCTAGGCCTGCAGAGAAGCGGCATAGATTGACACCTCCACTCCCTGTTTTTGAGAAGTTGTCAACAGGCACACCATGTATCCCAACCTCAGGCGAGATCGAGTGCTGCTCAATTCAATTCATATAATTAATAACATAACTACACGATATTCTGTCTGTAAATTGTTAAAGCACCCTACTTTCATTTCTTTCTGCTACAGCATCATTGTACTTTTCATCTTTTTCTTATTAGGAAACTGCACGTTATAAAACCTACCCGATTAACTTTTTTTCTTTGAAAAATCTCCACAATTATAGCAATCAAAATTTCTTTGTATTCAGTTGAGATTGCTATAATTCGATAGATTTTTAAAGTACATGGTTGTAATGGAAAGAGATGAAAGTATGTTGCTATAATAAACAAATAAATGTTTTAAATAAAATTGAGTCGGTGATGATTCATACGTTTGGGTAAATGGAAGGAAATAAAATGAGGACAAATTTGTAAAAATTTAGGTAGTAATAGGAATCATGCTTTGCCTGGCTTTCTCTATTTAATTCGTTCTTTTTGCAATAAACCAATATATAGCTTACTGAGTAATATTTTTTTTCTCTATTACGCTCATTAAGTAAAAAAAAAACAACAACAACAACAACAACAACAAACCTGAAAGACAAAAGAATGTTGAGCCAGCCATTCAGGCCTAGGCTTCCTGTAAGCAATCAATATATTGGAATCTGAAAGCCCTTTATCCCACAATAGATCAAGCTTCTCACTCTTTCCAAATAAGTTAGGGTGTTTTACACAAAGGCTGCAAAAAAGAAATTAACACAAGTTGCAAACCCAATTTGTACGAAATGAATCATTATGTTGAAGCAAGGATTAACCACCTAAAAATATAAGCAGAAAAAGAAAGTTGTGAGTGTGCTAGTTACTTAGCATATGACTCTGATCTTGGAAGAAATTCACAAAGGGTACTTTAACTTGGAAGTTGGAAACCACAGAACATTTTAAAAACGTTGTATAGATTGTTGAATGATTTTTACAAAAGCTATGCAACTTTTTAGTCCAAAGCGCTTAGATATGTCTTGCATTCTTTTTTGGGCAAAAGTGAAAAAAGCAATTGCACTTTCACCATTTTATCGATTTGGCCACTTAACTAATATATGTAGTAATTAAGACATTGTACTTTTTTGTTATTATAATACTTCAGTGCTAAAACGATTAAAAAAATCGTTCAAATGGCTAAAATGTGGAATGATGAGAGTACATTGTGTTTTCCTGTGTTTTGCTCTAAGATCAAAATCGCTTAACCGGGAAGAATGATTTTAAACCCGTAAACAAACTTCAATCATTGATCACTGCAAAAAATAGTTAAATGGCTAAATCAATGGTGTGACTAAATTTTTTCATTCTTTTTTTCAATTAGTTTGGTAAATTTTATGTGCATTGTCATGTTGATAGGACCCAATAAAAAAAAGGCAATGAAAAAGCAATTAAAGATGTTCACGAATAAGATAATGACCTAATAAGCCAACTCTACTAATGATGCCCAGTCACCCAATTCTCTTTGATGATGATAATAAGCATAAAATCCTTTTTTATAGATTTTCCAAACTAGAACCCTACCTTATAAAACTACTAATCCATATCTCTGGCAATAAACAAAAAATCACTAATATGTATCCCTAAAGACTAATATTTATCCATAAATACTAATACCAAATACTAGTACTTATCTAAGCCTAATAGTTGTATAAGCAAGAGGCAAGTTTTTTTACTGAAAAGTTGATGAACTGAAATGCTAATCATACCTCCCAACAATAAGCGAAAGTGGACTACTAGTGCCTGAATTTCTGTTTCATACAAAGAAACAATAAACAAAAGCAATAGGGGTGATAATCAATAAAATATCAAAAAGAGAATATGGAATCTATAATAGCAAATTTCAAGTTTCAACTGGAGTTTATTTGAAAGGTAAGCACAGTCTAGATGGCTCGATAAGATAGGCAAATGAAGTCAACTCGAGCATATTAGCTAGAAAGAATAATGGGACGTCCGGTAAATGCAAAATAATTCTTCTGCATTTATAATTTTGGGTGATTTCATTCATTGCCAATGGGCTTTGGATTAAACGCACACAGTAGAATATTCATATCCAGGCACCCAGACTATAAATAGGGGAATTACTAGCAAGAACTCACAGGGAAAATATCAATTACTAAAAGAAAGGAAAGTATGAACCAGAAAAAACCTGAAAGAATGAACCATCATAGCAGCACATAGCCTGTGCGTGAAATCAACATTGAAGTCTATCTTGGCTGTATGAAGTAGCAACAAATTAATCAAACCATAAGGTCACTGACACACAGATTCTATGGTTTTATCAAACAATGTGGGCGAATTCACGAATTAAATAACTGCGCTTGGCGAATAGCAAAGAGAGCGACACAGTCAATTGAGAAAAATGAAAAAAGAAACAGACCTTTGCCAGCATGGACGCTCTTCTGAGCTCCCATCCGATAACTCTATCAACCATTCAAAAACCAAATTCCCAAAGCTTTAAGAGCGAATACTGTAGAAGGGTTAACGGGTTTAAGGGCAAGGAAGCTTGATGGCGCACGATGAGGTTAGTAATCGAAGCAAGTTATCTCTTTCTCTCGTGATTGGTTTTGGTATTTTTGCACATTTTCTCCAAATCTTTTATTTTTTCCGTATTTTTGTGGACTTGAAATGAGTATATATGTACAACAGCTCCTATAAGAAAAAGGATAAAGAGTAACATTATCCAATACAATGTCTCTGCTCTTTCACACGTATAACTATGGGTGTGAACGCGGTGTGATTCGGTACGATTATTAGCTAAAACCTCGTTACTAACCGCAAATACGGTTAATCTATTTTCAAAACCGTTTGGTGTGGTTATTTTTGCAGTGCGGTTAGGGAGTTATTTTTGCGGTACAGTTAAGTCTTTTTTGTGTTCCAGTTATTAACCACAAGGATTTTATGCGGTTATTTGTGTGCTTTTTAACTATAGTTTAGAGTTTAAACGGTTTTAAGAGTTCAAACATATTATTTATAATAATAATAATAAACTATAAGGTATAAAACAATTAACTTAAATCACAAACAACTAATATTTTAAAAACGTCAAATCAATAGTAATTAACAATAAATATCTTAAAATTATCTGATTTTACCATTTTTCAAGGTTAAACATAAAATAAAAAAATAAAAAAAAAAAACCAACATTTTTGTCTTCTAAGTACTTTATCCATCTTTCATCCATGAAACTTGTCACATTTTTAATATTTTATATATTAATAATTAATAAAAAAAATTGTATATGATATATGCGGTGCAATGCGGTTTTTGAAAACTAATAACTGCATCGTACCGCAAATTTGCGGTTTTTGAAAAACAAAAAACTTCACTATCGGTTTTTATTACGGTTGCGGTTTATGTGATGTTTACGGTTAATTTTAGTTGCAGTGCGGTTTTGTTCACCCATACATGTAACGTCAGCTTATATTAATAAAATCCCGATTTTCTTTTAAATGTGGTCCACATCAGCCACTATTTCATATATATATTTTTTAATATTCTAATTATTCATAGTTAATAATTATTAAATTAACAATTATATATTTATTTACTATTTAAATAAATAATATTAATCAAAATACACATAAATAATTAATAATATATAATGGATCAAATTAGAAAGAAAAAGATAACGTGAAACATGAACCTCATATACAAATTACCAAGATAATAAAAAGAGTAATGCATATGCCGAAAAGCACATTCAGTCCTTATTTTTAAAAATTAACTCGGATGATCTCTTATTTGTTTTAAACTTACGCATATCATCCGTATTGACATGAAAAGACTAATTTGCCATTAGTTATTTCTTTTATCCTTTTTTCATTTCTTTATCAATTTAATATATAATAAAAAGGGCAAACAAATATCTCCCCCTCCCGTTCAGTCCCTATTTCTATAAAAAATCACCACCACCACCTATCACCGTTGACTCCCCCAGCACCACCACATATCAGCGTCACCACCTCCGACACCACAACCTATCACCGCAAGCACCTTCCCTTCCCTTTCCCTAATTTTCTTCTACCTTCGTCCCTCTTCTCACTCGTTCTCATTAACCATCCAAAACCCAAAATCAATGTACCAAAATCAGACCCCAAACCACCATCCTTATCGTCGTTCTCTCCCTCTGCATTAAGAACACCAACGACCATTGAAACTACCAATTTCAATCTATCTGCTTTGTGGTGAAACTCAATAATTAAATCGATCCATCCACCACTCTAATCAAAAGTTATTTCTCTGAACTACAATCATCTCCATCGAAACAATAATTTAATCTTCGAAACCTTGAACTACTGACAAGATTTAATAAACACAAATGAGACCCATAAACAATCACAATCACAAGTTCACAACATCTCACTGCAGTCAAAGTCCTAACCTATATTCATCTTCAAAATCTAAACAAGTAACCGATTGAAATCAAGTCCAAGACAAATCCATCGAAATAAAATCAAACCAAACCTGAAACAAACCTCAAAATCAAAATGAAAACCTACATCAGTTTCAATTTCTAGATTTGATGACGATAAAGAAGGAGTAAACTCAAAATTAAAATTGAAATCAAGTATTTCTCTGTCTTATCATGCTACATCTCCATCTCACCCATTTCCTATGGTCTCCTTTTTCTCTTTCATCGAGTCCGTCTCTCTCAACCTCTTTCTCTCTCAGTATCGTGTTATATATCCATCTCACTTGACATCTATCTCGATATCGTATCAGAACACATGTGTGTGTGTGTGTTTTGGGTTACTCTTTTATCTCCCACCAATAACAATAACATGAGGGTTTAGAAGTGAAGGGGTGGATGGGTTGGAAAAGATGAGAGCAGGTATCGAATAAGAATAGGGAGAGAGTGTGAGAGATTGTTCGGATGAGGTAGTGGTATTTTCCACTGTAACTGAGAGAGATAGAGTTTATAGAGAGTTGTTTTTTTATTTTCTTTGCTAATTTATAAGTAATAATAAATAATATTAGAATAATCAAAAAAATAAATATCCAAGGGCATTATCGTCATTTCAAATGAGGCACGGACTACATTCGCAAGAAAAAAGCATATCAAGGACGAAGTGTGCAAGTTTTAAACAAACGAGGGATGATCTGAGTTAATTTTTGAAAATAGGGACTGAACATGATTTTTGGTATGTGCACGAGAGACGATTGATGTAATTTACCCTAATAAAAATTAGTTAAAGACCATTAGTAAAGTATAAGTTAATTGATTTTGAAGAAATATTCACATGAAATAAGTAAATTGATTAATCGGATAAAAACAATAAAAAAAATATTAATTATATATATACTTAATTGTGGGGAGTCTTATCTACAGTAACTTTTTTGTTTTTTTTTTATTTTGGTCGTCTTACTTTTTTTACGTTTCCTTTCTTCGACCTAAAGTTATCTTTCATATAGAATTGTTCTTTTCAACAGGTCTTCTTGATATTTTTTACACTTTGCCATATTATTTTCATTTGTTTTTCAGTCGGTTGCTCTCTCCACCACCTCTCCCACCTGATCAGATAATCAGTGGACATCAGTCATTATCTTTCTCCCTCCATTAAATCGCAATTAAATATCGACGACCCTTCACTTATTCCCATATTCTACTGGCAATAGATATCATCGCCTCAATACTGCTTCCTTCTCCTTTCAAATCGACGCAACTCTACTCCAACACCTCTGCCTTTTCCCCCAATAAAGGTGACTTCCTAGGATGAATATGCTTTGGTTGACGTTTTCTGACTCTGTGTCCGTCGGCTTTTTATTTAGCAAGGTCAAAGAAATGGTGAAGGAGAAACCGACGAGTACTTTTGGAGCATGGTGGGTTGATTTCCCCCTGATTTATGGGTTATGTAGTTCTAAATTATTGGTTCCTTTATGAGTATTTTATAGCTCGATTTTAATGTTCTTAGGAAGCAAGACTCGGATGGATTTACAGGCACCACGATTATAGCTCAATTTCAGCACTCATCATTGTGTAACACCGCCTCCATCACTTTTGTATCACCGACGAACCCTTCCGTCCCTTCATGTCTTCTCCGGTAAGTGTGATTACAAAATGAATTTAACTGATTTATGTGTATGATTCAATAGTAAGTTGATAAATCGTTATTATTCTACTTAGTAACTTTTTTGTTGATTTGAGTGTGACTTTTTTTTATATGTATGTGTGAATTGTTTATTAGAATACAAATTTTATCTTTTTTCTGCTATTTCATTTATGTAGAAAACAAAACCAACACAACATACTTTTTGGGGGATTAATGAACTTGGGAATTGAAGTATGCAAATTTGATGATTTGTTTTGCACACCATATGTTTGATAAAATGATTGAACTAAAAATGGATATTTCTTTGTCATTAAAGCCTATGTACGTGAGAAAAGCATAAACAATACTTATCTATATTGCAAAAAATCAGTAATGGAATTGAGTAATTATATGTAACCAACACTAACCTGATGATCCAGAAACCACAGTTCACCAGGTGGAGATTTAGTTGGGAGGCGGAATTCAGTCATTTGCTTACTGTTGTAAATACATTCTTATATAGGAGGCAACACTTATGATTTAACCCATCTAAAGTGAAAGCAAGGTATGCCTTTCTTTTCCCTTTTAAGAGTAGAGTTAATGCTTTTTCGTTTCTTCGCATTTTTTTGTAAATACATTACATATGGCATTTTTTAGTTGTACAATGAGTTAGACAGGTTTTGTGATGCTGGTATTTATGGTATTATTCATGTAAAATCATGATGACTAACTGCTCTTAATTATAACAATTCCTTATGACATTGATGTATAGATTTACACTCTCTGTATGTGTGATTTACACTTTCTCTCTATGTATGTGTACGCATATGGAGTTTTTGTTTGCCTAAATGTTTTGTTAATATTATAATGTATTTGTTATATTTGCCTAAATGACTATAAATGCTACTTCGATTTTGATTGTCATGTTTATCTATATTTCTTTTCTAATAAAAATGATTTTCTTTTGTGATGTTACTTGCCACATGTATCGGCAGATGAGAATTTTACATGTTATTGGTTAAATTTTTCAATGTACTCATTTGTTTTGTGACAGATAGATTTGAATTCTTAGGAAACTTTGAGAACATTAGTTGGATAATGCTTCACCAAGCTGTCAAATAGGCATTAGCCTCCATCAAATGAGTTCAATCTTATAGCTAATAATGATATATTGATATCAAAAGAAAAAAATCCTAACTGTTAACTATGTTGAAAAAGAAGTCTGTGGTCTTTTCTTATATTCCTAATTGGTCTAATGCCATCTTTTTTTTTCTTACCTGAGGGCATTCTTCAAATTCTCACCTAATGTTTCTGTTAGCAAAGTTTGGGGAAGAAAATGTATCCATAGACATGAATCTTTATCAAATTGTAAGAAAGTATACTTTTTATGCAACCATTTTGTATAGAAATGTTCATTTTGATTTTGTTTTGAATCTTGATTTCGGAGTTTTGGGATTGGATCTTGAAACAATTCTCAGGAGAAATCGAAAGCATTGAAAGGGTAAGAAAAAATTCAAAGACATGGGCATGAATCTACCATTATCTCAAACAATTCAAAGTAATTAATAGTTTAATACCTTTAAATATTTATTTGTTTTGTCTCTATCAGCTTATCTTTATAATTTCCAAAATATACTTCAAAGT